TGAGATTTTTATTTTGTTAGCCTCTGCACTTCGCTATTGCACTGCGGAGAAACACTAAGAATGAAAATAATGTCGGCCAGAGTTGATTTGTTTGTGGAAGAAGATTTTTTTTTTTTGCCAGCGTATTATTCTTGCGACATATAATAAGGGGTAATGTCGTTCCACGCAAAAGTCTCAACAATCCACCTGTTTAGGAGAAAAATACTGTTCGCCGGAGGAGTTTGTGTGACTTTAGATATTTCTAAAAACTGAATACATGCACATTCAGCGCCAGAAGCCAATGAGCAGGAGTCTAAAACTATTCTGTGATAGTTTTGGATTTCTCGCTCTCCATAAGCCTCTCATTGTTGTTAGAGGACCTGCTTTGTACAAGTGCTTGCCAGCTGCTTACCAAATGAGGTTATAGTGTTTCCCTATCAACTGTAAATTTCAATAATTTGTTGGAGGGGCCTCTCACTGTCAGTTTTTATCATATTATCAATGACGACTCAATTTTCCTCTGCCACTCCATCTCAAGCACTGACCCCCGGCCCTATTACAGTCCTGTAATGAAGTGCAATGGAGTGGTAATTGGTCCACATTATACCAGATCAGGTAACATTAGACTTATTTTCTTATCACAATGAGCCCTGCTGGTGACTCTCAATGAGAAACCAAACACAGTTCCTTTCTTATGCAGGCTATCATCCAAATAACATTTCAGCTAGAGACCCCTTTTCCCCATTTCAGTTTTCCATTTCAAGATTGCGCTCCATCTCCTCGGACCGCGCTTTGTTTCTAGTTTCCTCCACTTTAAAAGTCTCCCAAACAGCCTCAGAGGCAGTGCAGATACGAGGTAGAGCTTTCCCGGGATGGGGAAGTACAGTAAACGAGACGGTAACATGACCATTATGTCGGCGATATTAGGTGTACAGTGCTGAGCCCCCTCCTCCTCCTCCTCTGTTGTTGTTGCAGCTTCCCTCCTTGGAGTGCTCGGTGCTTTTTTGATATTTTCCGTGTTTTCAGTCATTTACACGCTTCTCTATGAACGCAGCAAATTTCATAAGCTCAGTTTCAAAGTGTAGAAATGCATCACGGGTAAAATCCAGCTGCATTTCTTCTATTGCTTAAAAAAAATGCCGTTGTGGAAATAGAAAGTTGTTTTATTTTTTTATTTTTTTACCCAGGAGGCACGTTATTCACATGTTATTGAAATCTAATGCAGTTTGAAAAATTGGCACAAATCAATTTTCTAGTACCCATTGCAGTAATTATGTGTCTGTCAGCTACGACAGAGATTTCAAGGCTCTAAATAACAATGAGTTAACTCAATAAAAAAAGAAAAAAGTTACAGAATTCTTTGCCCAGGATTAGGTAATTGTCCAAATAAATTAAATTTTTAAAAAAAATAAGCCAAACATAGTTGAGCAGGTTTATTTTGAGCCTCATTTTAAGCAGTTCAGCTAACATATTCCGTTAGGCAGGGGTCACGCTAAAAACGAATAGTTGGCTTTGGCACGAGCAAACCGGTCTGTATGTACCGTTGGCTAATCCAGTGCCTGTATAACAGAATATCAAAGAGCTGTTAGTCCGTGTCTGAACTTTTGTGCTACGAGAGGCAGGATGTCAGGTCTCGCTGGTAGTGTGTACTGAAAATACACTGAGCACTAAAAAGGCAGGATATTGGATAACAAGGTTAAAATATAGGAGCAAAAATATTCTCTTATTAAACTCAGGCTGCAGGGATTTGATTTGAGCCACCTAATAGATAGTGGTTTCAAGGGAGCCCAAACAAAAGGTAACGGGCCGGTCATGCTTATGGTAGCTAATGGCAGATTTAAAAGAAATTAGGGGATTCTTTTTCTACAGGAAATTGTACTTAAAGACGGGTCATGGATCACCCTGCTCTTCACAGGCAGCTTTAGAAGTCAGACGGTGAACTTTTGCTGCGGCCATTACAAGGTCTGCATTGTAGAGAGAGGTTAAAGCAGAAACAAAACTAATTGTGTTATTGGAGAAAGGCAAAGCTGTGCAAATTGATTTCGTGGCTGAGAATCACAGCTTGACAAGTGAATAAACTCTTTTGTGACTACAATTAAAGAAACTCGACACTGAGGGCAAAGAAAACCTACACGTGTGTGCCAACACCAGCTGAAAAGTTTTCATCCGTAAACCACCAACAACAGCTCCTTGGCTTTGATTTGACAAGCGTCCTGAAGTTTTGGTGAAGTAATTCTCAAAGAGTTGTGACGATGGGGCGTTTTTGTTTTGAATCTCCTGTGAGCACATTGTTGGGCTGCGATCAGGTTCATCAACTCTCGTTCACTGGTCACGATCACCAATGATGGCCTTGTGTTTATTGGCATTTGCTTCACCTTCTAATTGCTTTAGTGGATCCAAGTCATGCCAGGAAAGTGTACCTCTAGATTATCCTTGAGCGCTTTCTGTGTGAATGACAAGCAGCACAAGCGTATGTAAAAAGTAGGGCTGAAGTCAATCGTACCTGCTGTTCCACAAACTGGTTGGTTGTGAGGAGTAAAACATCATGAGCCTAAATTAATTAATAATAAACCTGCAAAGCTAGTATTTAAAGCATATTAAATAATTTTTTTGCCTTGTTATATTATAATAAAGTAGATTCCGAAGTTTTAAGCAGTTAAGTGGCTTTTTCTCTAATCACAGCGTTGCGTGTTCAGGACCAGGTGTTGAAGTGTGCAAACAGCTTTCAACAATCACTGTCATTTGAATCAGTTCCTTAAATCCTTCAGCCTCCACAACTCTAACAATGAATTCGACAATACCCATTGTGATATTTTTCTGTTTTGATAAGAAAGGAGGTTTAGCGTCGGCTGGGTGTAGCTGCTGCTTCTGGCCGACGCTAAAGCTGTTCAAACGATTATTACACCAAATGTAGCGCAGTATGTCGGTTCTCATACGCAAAAGTTGGCCGAACATCCCGACGCTGAAAAGTTAAAGTTTTTGGCCATCAGTTTGAATAAAATGCAGCAACATCGATTCCTTTTGACGTAGTTCTAGTTAGTTTGGATCCAGCTTCAAGTAAGTGGTCAGTGAACATTAGATAAGTTAGACATAGCAGAGTCCATTAGGTTGGCTGAGTTCAGCCTCCTTCAGGCAAAAATAATGGATTAATCCTGGAAAGCTGTTGCTGTGTCCTTATGAAACCAACACCTGCGCTCCAAACAATAAAAATTTAGTCGGATGAGCACGACCTGACCGACCAATCGATCGGTCAATCTCGAGACTACAGGCCGAGTACAAAGAAATGTAAGTTTGCTTGTGAGGTTTAACTTAATTAATAATTTTTTAAAACTAATAAATCAGATTGTGAACATTTAATCATCATCATAGTTATCTTTACTTTGCACTATCAAGGGCAGGTGTAAAGTTGCGGTCATTTTCGCTTCTGTATAATTTGATGAATTGCTTTGTGGGACTGTCCGCTGAACTTTTTTTGTTTGACTGTTGAATTATTATTATTATTTTTTTCAAATACAGTTGAGGACAGTAAATATACAGTCTCCCATAGAAAAAAAATTAATATATATGTTTTTATATGTATAAGAACGCCATAGATGAGTGAAGAGTCAATTCTTCTGCTTTATCACTATATGCAAGACGGCTGCATCCAGATTCTCATAGTCGGTCTGTCCATATTCATCTAGAAGACTCCAATCCAAAAACACATTTTCCACTGTCGATGTCTTTAGTTCAGTGTTCCACACCAACATCGTCTTAAGCTGAGGAGAAAGAATTGAAAATTGTTTTGTCAGCCAAAGTTCCCTGCAAGTGAGCATACATGTACTAACCTCCTAAAAACAGCTGTTGTGGAATCATAGTGTGATATTTAGCGTTCTTATTGCACCTGTGTAGGTGTACCTGGCTCTGCATGCCCTGTGATCGCTGCTTTCTTCTGCCTGTCGTCTACATGGCGACCAGTGATGGAGACCGTCTCATGGCTAATGTGAGTGAATGCCTCCTGCCCTCTAGTGGTTGTACCGGTGCGGTGCCGTGCGTCGCTGTGATCAGTTATGCTGTGTTCGTGGAGAAACACTCGGGGAATCTGGAACTTCACATACTGAGAAATAGTTGCGCCATTCAGATGATTCATTCACTTCATTGACTCAGGCATTTGTCATTTTCTTTTTTACTTGAGAAATACATTACGCGTGTCTGTGTGTCTGTGTGTGTGTGTGTGTGTGATTGCGTGTGTGTATTAATGCAACACATCACATGAAACGCCTGCACGAACCTACAAGAGAAGTCCAGTTGATTTCCAGGGAAGCTCTTACGATTACCATAACCTGAATGACGGAGAATCTACACAGACATTTTGAGTGTCACATGACTGTTTCTGAAGTGGTCGTAGTGTTCGTATACATAATAAACTTTGCAGGGAAACAGAAACAGTTTATGTAAATGCTTAAAGTCAGCTTTTTAAGTGTGTATAAATGTAAGTTCAACAGCAACTCTGATGTCACCGCCGCTGTAGGTGACATGGTCATGATGCTACTAATTTGACATAAGCGAATTTATTTATTTGAATTACTCTCACTGTAAAACTCTTCAGACACTCTGCGTTTTGATAAGGAAGTGAAAAAACGGAAGAGCCATATATGACGCTCACAACAGGTGAATCGTTGGTGTGTGTGGTACTTTGTATTATTGAGAACAGAGAAGTGTAGCCTACAATAAAGACTGGAGGCGTTGTTTAATCTTTTTTCTCTGATCTGCGAGTGTATGTCTCAGCACATCAACTCTCAGTTCGTCCATCGTTTCGTTTCATTTGTCGTAATTTGGCCCCACATATTTAACCATCTGCACTAATGTAGGTCGAGCAGTCAAAGGCAAATGCAGTCGCACACATGTTGCACATTCTGACATGACCGTGGTGCGTTTTCTCACTTCTTCAAGTGTTTCAGGAAGTGAGGCAGAGTCACCAAAATCAGGAAACTAAGTGTTGCTATTAATACAACTGAGCGGAGGGCTATAGCTGGTGAAAGCTGATGTAGTCTCAGTTGATGAGTAAAAGAGCTCCGGCACGCTTGAGACACGAAAGGAAATATTTTGGGCAAATGATGCACGTTGTGGAGTAATTCTGCGCGTTTTTAAGGCTTTACAACCATGGAGGAGTCCATCTCAGGCGCCGAATCAGGTGAAGATCATTTATGTGTGCTTTTTTTTAAAATTACTTTCACTCAGTAAAGATTTAGAAAAACAAAAACGTCACTCTTAAACAATATTAATTACTCTTTCAGAATGTTTTGAATACATGTTTGTTTAATTTAATTTGATTCCTTTCATTGAGAATTCTTATCCGAGCTTTTAAAAGAGGAAGCTGTCACTTAGCTGTCGCGTATAGGCAAAGCTATATGTTGGTTAGTTCAGTATTTCCCACACGTCTGAATTTGCATCAGTCATGTTATTGGCTCATTACAAAGCAGATGGCAGGTCTCGGTGCCCTGTCATTAGCAGGAACTGTGATGAAGGTGAATACTCATGCTGGGTTTCTTTCCCGGTTAGCGTGTACGGAGGTGAACTTGACCTGATTAAACACTGTAATGAGTCAAACAAAATTACTCTGACCAGTGTTGACACAGCGCAGTGTTTGCACAACTCCTTGTTGGCTCTGGACTGAAATATCAAACAGATCGGACATTCATTCTCCAACCACAGTCACCTTGACATTCCACAGCCGGACAGCTGGTATGTCGTGGAGCATTTCCATGACAAACACTACCTGCTGCTACACGGAGCCAACACATAATATCACCAGTGTCATGTCATTAGTGTAATTTTTGAGCAGGACTGTGATTCATTTGACAGGATCAGCAAAGTTTAAGAGGAACTAATGATTAATTTTTTCCAGCTTTATGCTTCGCGAAGGCAATTTGGCAGCTGGTTGAATACATGTACTGTACATACTAACCGCGCTGTAATATATTCTGTTTTGCAGCCATTTCTGACTCCCTCTCAACATACGAGCTGTTAATTCTGCACACTGCAGAGGCACAGGAATGGGCGTCGTATTTGCAGCAGATCCTGCAAAGTTCTCAGGAATTCCACACAAGGCCTATTCTGCTGTACGCGGTCGGCCCGGCCGATGAGATCCACGGATACAACTTTGAATCTTTCCAAAGCTGCGAGTGCATTGTGCTGCTCCTCACAGGAGCATTCCTGGACAACCTCTGTGACCATGAACTGCAGGAAGCCCTTCAGAGACTGCTTTATCCTCCGCACAGAGTGGTGGCGCTGTTGTGTGGTATATCAGAGGACAGCGCGCTAGAAGAACATTTTATAGACTGGGCAAGCTGGAGAAAACTCTACGCTGACGATGACCCTTCTGTTTACGTTTCCACCATTTTGGAATCAATCACTGACAGTATGCAACATTTTCTCACATTTAAGTTTTCCTTAACACAAAATGCTGTATCGTGATTGGCACATGTCTCAGCTATGGGATATTTAGATAAACTGCTGAGAGGCCCGGAGAGCAAACAGTCAGTTTTAGGTTCTGTTCTTCTAAATTACAAAAAGACATGTCATTTATCTGTAGTAGTATCTTGATAAGTAGATAGTTTGGAATCCATGTGCTAAAGTTTTCAAACATTAAAATCTGATCCACTAGAATTGCAGTGAGCAAAATTTCATATGGTGGTTAAGATTTGGAAAGAAATGCTTGAAAAAAAATCAAAAGCATCTTAGTGTTCAAAAGACAATGTCTGGTTTCATTGGGATTGCTGATAGATCGATTGTTTTTTAAATTTTACTTGGAGATTTTCAGATGTTTTAAAAAGTATAAATGAAATAACGTCCATCTTGGTTGGGTTAGGGTGGTAGCAAAATTTAAATACCTAAAAGTTAACAGGTAAAACCGAAACTATCTTCAGAAGTAAGTGAGAAAGACGGTTGTTTTTTTGCATAAAGGAAACCTGCAACTTGTTATGAACGATTCGTGACTGAGTAAAACATCTTTAAACTATGCAGAATGAATTAAAGGTGTTTTTGTTTGTAGAATATTTCAGCAACAATAACAACAACAATAACAGATTCCTTCTTGATTTTTGTTTAAAGGCAGACGAGCATTAGCTGACCACAACAGCGAAAGTGGTGCAGCCGCAGCAGAGTTGCACATTTCAGCAGCCCCTTCAGCTGAAAATCCCACCGCTGATGAAACAGAGGAAGTGGTGTCAGAAGAGCAGAAAGAAGCTGTCCTGGAGGATGAAGAGCCTGCGAGCACAGGGAATTCAACAGGCGAGGAAATGAGTTCACCCACGCACCTCACCTGTCTCACCGTTCAACCAAACAGAGTTCTCTGCGGGGTAAGAATGAATTAATTACATAACAACAATATTAACGGCGATGTTTGTGTCTATCATAGATACCACAAGTGTGTTATTAGGATTAATGTCCACTTTTTCTACATAAAATTGTGCTAGAGAGAGGTTTTGTGTTCACATTGTGTTGCATTAGAGCAAAAGAGGCTGTTTTGGTATCAATAAAATATTTTACCCTAATCCCTGTTTTTTAGGTATGAACTATTAATGTCCGAGTTGATAACAGCTGCTAACACAACATTTCATTCTATTTAATTGTATTCTTTCTCTCTTTTTTTAAGGGGCAGGAGACACTTTATATCATTCTCACACACAAAATAGATGATCAGGTCGTACCAGAGGTGGAGTTTTCATCTGAAAACGTACCTGCAAAAAGAGTGTCAGGCACAATGGAGAACGAATACACAATAAGTGTTATTGCACCGGGTAAGTATCGACAGGAAGCTGTGGGACTTTAAACTGTTACACGTCTTTTTGCTTTTAAAAATGTGATCTCCAGAACTTAAATCATTGTCTTGCTCAAATGACGGTTTTAATTTTGCCTTCCTCAGATATGCCTGCTGGGAACATATCGCTCACGTTGCACACTGACCAATCATGTGTCAGCTTGAAGCCTGTCACATATTACACCAAAATGGGGGAAGTCAGTCGGTATCTTGAAAACGTTACTGATCCTGTCGACTTCATCTGTCAGGTGAGACATCATGTCACGCAGCACTGTTGGCTGTTTCGCAAGTTAAATAGTTCTTCTGTAATGTTTTTTTTTTTTTACTTCCAGGCCTTTAACTTGACAACCAATACAACAGAATCACTGGACAACATGCTAACTGACTCAATAAAATCCAGGATGCCTGCAGCTGGCCTTCAGCTGTTTGGAATCGTACAGATTGAAGAAGACAACATGTCTGCATGTAAGTTCAGCGCTCTCATTTGCTGTTTTATATCTTGCCCACATATCGCTGTTGTTGCTCAGGTATTATGAAAACAACAGTAAAACCTCACAGTTTGTTCCGTCTCTGCGATGCCTTTTTGATCTTTTTTGGGGGTTTTGAGAGTCAACACGTGGTCACGTAGCTGGTTGTCTGTTTGTTTTTTTTGTGCCTTAGATCAACGGGACGAGGAACTTCCCACTTTGCTCCACTTTGCTGCTAAGTACGGCCTGAAGAAGCTGACCACCATTCTCCTGCAGTGTCCTGGGGCGCTGCAGGCTTACAGTGTGATGAACAAGCATGGAGACTACCCAAACAAGCTGGCAGAGAAGAGTGGCTTTAGCGATCTCAGACAGTTCATGGATGACTTTGTTGTAAGTTCAGTGAGGTTTTTTTTTCTTATTCCGTTGTATTGAGTAGTTGCTATTTTCTTCTTGTGGTCGTGTTTTTGTAAGTGTCTGGTCATGTCTTATCTGTAAACAAATCTAGGAGACAGCAGACATGCTCAAGTCTCACTTTGAGGAAACCATCAACACAGACGATGGTGCAGACGTGTATGAGATGATGTCAGCCACCTCTCAAGATATCATGAAGAAGTATTCAGGCTGCCCAGAGGATATATACATGTCGATGGTGGAGATCGACCCTGGCTGTGTAGAGGACCTGTGTAAGAGGAACACGGTTTTATTTATTGGTTCGAACATTGCTGAATAGTTACAAAACTGGGGGCTGATAGTGCTGTTTTTTGGGGTTTTTTTTCAGATGAGGTGATGAGTGCTGTAGACGAGAACCCTGAGGAAGCTATGCTCAGGAAGTTCTTCCAAGGTGTGCATCCTCATACATATATTTTTTTTAAAAATACTGTTTGATACCCTTTGTGTAACACAGTTGCGTCGTGTCCTTCAGGTAAGCCCAGTGCCACAAACGTCCAGGACAACAACAACAACAAAGACCTGAAAAGTGAGGATGAGGAAAAAGATGAGCCTCATAGCTTTGATCAAGGGGAAGAGGAAGAGGAGGATCCATACAACCTGTGTCCAGAGGACATCTACGATACTGTGGATGCAGACAGCACTTATAACGCCGCCTTCCTGAACCGTCCACCGGCCCCCATCCCCAGACCTGAATCTGAGTCTGACTCTGAAAGGCCTGTAACATACATCTCTAGAGGTACTGTGCAGACTTTTTAAAAATGTATTTACATTTTATGTATTTGTGTCATAAAACTGATCTTCAGGCAGCAGTAGTAAATTGTTGTGTTGTTTTTTACAGTATTTACAGATAAAGGTGCGCCCCAGAATGCCACGATGGAAATGGGATATCCTGCAGGTAAAGCACAGTTCAATCACAATGAGAGTCTTTTTGTCTCAATTTATTGACGTTTGACCTCATCCAGTACAGTCAGATGCTCGGATTCATTCTGTTTTGTCATCATTTGCAATTCAAGTTTACATATTAAAACAGCCTCAGCATGGAAGACCCAATATTTTACATCCTACACGTGCTGTATACAACAGTGAGGTTGCTCATTGCTTTGCTAAAGTATGACACATGACCACAAATGGTAAAAACACAGTCTCAATTTCTTGATTCTAACCAATCAACAATAAATCATCCTTTGTGGTATTAATGTTATTTCAGTGACACCAAATTAGTCAAATTAAACCAATAAACTTTGTAGTTAGCTTCATGGTTACAGCTAATTGTATGTCAGCGCTGAGGAGAAATAGTCACATTCTGGTGCCTCGAGGTGCTTTTTACAGCCCACATTCAGACGTGACCCAGCAGCTAAGGCACAGGTGGAGAAAATGCAAGATCTTCATGTTGTTCATGTATTAAACTTAAAGGATTATTAAAAATACAAGCTAAAAAGAAATTGTTCCGCCCTCTGAAATGAACACTCTGAAAGTAGTTTTTGGGTGTTTTTTTTTTGCTCCTGTAACATTTTTACCCACCATGGCCTCATTTTTCACGGCAATATAAAACCCAGCACCACCATGGAAACGGCAAAACCATGGCTAGAAATAGAGACAGAAATTATTTAGGGGCTGACACCCTGATACTTTATGAAATAACTGATTTATGAAATAGCAAAGCTGGCATTGTAGCATCATAAAAAACAAAGAAACTGCAGCAATACAATATAACAGTGACGCTGATCAACAGAACAGGTTACACCTTCTGCAGAGTTTGAAATATACTTTAAGGATTAACAGTTTCTAATGTTGACATTTCAGTGATTTAATCATTACATCTTTGTTGTGTACTCATGATATTGTGGGAACAGCTCCAGAAACGTTGCACGCTACGAAAACCAAGATCGTTTTGCCAACAGGCATTTGCACATAATTTTTTTTCTCACGCGTTGCTACGCTACGCTCTGTGGTTGTGGTTCTAAGTTCAAACCTTTTTGCGAGACACTGCAGAGTCTATAGCACTCTTGTTATTTTGGTGGGCTTGTTTGTTACCCTCGTGCCCTATAGTGCCCTGAGTACATTTTAAAAAAAGATTATTTGTGTTTATTTTTGTTTTATTTTAACAAAGCAGTTCTTTTTTGTTAAATTATCTTCAGTTAAATACTTTTTAATACTTGTGAATATGTTTAAGCACTGTTCCTAGTGCATCTTTTTCTCTACCAATTGAAGTTTAATTTAACCAACGAGTTTAATTCTGCCTCAGCATCAGCTTCCTACATGAAACTGTTGTTCCAATTTTTTGTTTTTTTTTACTTCATGTTAATTTTTGATGTTTATTGATGTCCAAATTTTTTTTCAACATCAGTAAAAAAAATTAAAAAATGCTACAAGGTGGAGAATTTGACAGTGTTTTACAACTTGTCTTTCTGTTTGTGTTAAATGACCACTACTTTTTCCACCCGTGCAGCTCAGCCTGTGGTGGAAGCCCCCACACCTACTTATGACCCCTATGCTGGGATGAAGACCCCTGGACAGAGGCAGCTTATATCCCTGCAGGAGAGGGTCAAAGTCGGGGAGATTACTGTCGATGAGGCTGTCCAGGAGTTCAAGGCTTGGCAGTTTGACCATGAGCGGAGGGCGAACTCCATACGCTATCAGCAGGTAGATAAATACGCTAAAATTGTGATCTGACGGATGCCGATTGATTATCAAGCAGTAAATCTAACGTGTGTCTTTTTTGTTTTCTTAAGGATAATCTAAAGAAATTACGAAACAGCATCACCAGACGTCACAAGGAGAGACAGAAGACAGGAAAGGAACTGGGTAGAACATTTTGATAGTTTGTTATTGACGTAAATCGATTGTGTTACTTGGAACCAAATTGCACTAATGCAGCTTTAATATATGTCGCCATGATGAAAGAACTATGAACATATGTTATTGCAATGAAATTTCTTGTTAATGGTGAAAGAGAGCATGCTAGTATTTTTAGAAGTGCTACATTTTGGTGTGGTTTCCCCTCCTAGATTATGAGATTAGCGCTCCGCTGCAGAGGAACTTATACTGGGGCTCCAATATGACGTTAGAGTGTGCCGTGTACGAGCCTGCACCCAGAGTGGCGGCTCTGCCCCCTACACCAGTTCAGGTTATCCAGAGGGGCAACTGGAAGACAGGCAGCACATCCAGCACATCCAGTAAGTCCTTATTGTGCTTCGTTTCCCTTCATGTGTTTCTTCGTAGCAGTATGGCTCCGTGGTCACAACTGCTTCCTCAAAAAATGACTAAACAAGAGAACCAAAGTGCAAGTTCTCAGCTCTTTCCTCATTTGTTTGTGTGGCGTTCTTCCCACTTCCGCTTAAACATATGTCAGAAGCTCCAGACTTCAAACATGTGTATGTCACTGTTTACGGTGCTGTACCTGCTCGCTGTTTGAGTTCCTGCCTCCACATTACCCAGGCAAGTAGGTGGAGGAAATTGTTGAAGGTGACAGGGCTCTAGAAGTGCCAGTTCTGATCACCAGTCAGTCTTTTCTGTACATTTCTTTTATCTGCGGTTAAAGGAACTCGGCAAGGATGTGAGAGAAAGGATCGCTAGAGCACTCACATAGAAGCACTAGATTTGCAGCGGTACTAGCTGGGAGTAGTTTGACTAGTGGGAGGAAAAGTTAAATCCAGTGGAATAATCCAACACTAGATGAACTCATGGACAGAGGCTTCACGAGCTGATTCTGACAGATGTCACGACTAATGAACAAGTCCTGCTATGATTGTTCCTTATGTCTGTGACATTTTTCAGTCTGTTAGTGTTCCCCCCTATGAATGCAAATTAGATTAAATCTCTAAAAGGGCTTTGAGTATTGAGAAAGGAGACGATACACCAGACTCAGTTACAAAGAAAAAATGCACAAGCGTTCTTCCTGAGATTGCTCAGAAAGTGAAAGATGACGAAACCCATTGTAAAGTTTCTGGATCTCCGATTTCCTTAAAGAGAGAACAGTGTTTCTCCATATATATAGATATATAACAGACACAACTTGATGACAGATTCACACCCAGAAAGGCAACACATGTTGACTTCTGACATGTTCCCTTTATTAAAAAAACGGATGTACCAGGAAAAATGTAAATATAAATATATTTGAAGAGTTGATGTGCAAAACAGATATTTCCATCTTCACAAACCTTCAGAAAACCCACTTTTCCATCGTCTACCTGAGACAATACCAATCAAACTTCAGTTATCTCTATTTTTGTCATTTCTACTGAGTCAGATCCACTCAGCTTCAGTTTGATTGATATCATCTCAAGCAAACAACAACAAAAAAAGTTTTCTGAAAATCTACAAAAATTGGCCTAGATCTTTAATTTTAAGTCCTGGCAAAGGTAGAAGTTGTTCTCTTTAAAAGGTAATATGGATAACGATCGTCTTTGTACTACAGCGTACTGAGTTTGAACTCTGATATACCTTCAGTTTGTTCAGCTGTTGAACATATAATCTACACCAGTTAGCTACAACATTAAAACCACCTGCCTAGTGTTGTTTTGGACCTCGTCTTGTCGCTAAAACAGCTCTGCAGCAGTGTTTAGTTGAGTTGTACATGTCAGAATAGCATCAGTTTTATTCACCTCACTTGTCAGTGGTTTTAATGCTGTGGCGGATCAGTGTATATCATAACGTCCTGCCTAAGTCGTTGTCGTCCTGCACACAGAATATCACGTTCTTGTGAAGTTTGTTTACGTCCCAACCCGCCGTCACTTCAAATATAATACAAATATAATTGTGTCTTTGTGTTTTATGAACAAAAACATTTCCTCATTTTGTTTTGTGGCACAACAGTAACAGAGAAATATGTCAATGTCTAACCTTTGAAATACCCAGAATGCATTCATCAGTAGCCAAATACAGTAAAACACCTACAGTGTGGTTAGAAGTAGAGGAACTGCAAAGGTTATGCTAAAATCTAGCTGCTGTGGTTTTTTCTTGCTGTATTTTAAGCACTTGAACTTTTCTTAGAGTTCCCAGTTCAATGAGAGCAGACAGACATTTAGTTAATAATGTTAAGAATAATAATAAATACTCACTATTCATTCATCTGGTGTTTGTGCTTTCTGACAGAATAGTAAGGACGTGAGCTGTTAGTTTGAATTTGAGATTTTCTAAACGGTTCGGACACTGTTCTTTAAACACGCTGATATATTCTCAGGATTTCAAGTGTCGTTTGCTGGCAGCCTCGTGATTCTCACATTAGTCTGCTCTCGACCTGCTTCTGTGTTTATTCTCGCTCTCGTCGCTCTTACCTCTTCCTGCTGACACTTGGTGCAACTGTAGCGCCTTTGTCGTTTGTCTTTTAAAGATATTTTTACCCCACATTTGGTGAAGTAGCGTTACGACACAATTCACCACAAGAGCAAACCTCAGAGCAACTTGAAATCACGTGTTTTCTTGACTAACCTGCTTTTGCTTCTCACCAGGTACCGAGAGCAACAGGCTGAGCACTCACAGCACTTTTAGCCTGAGCAGCGGGACAGAACCCGAATTTGAGGTAAGTCCGAGTTAACGATGGGTGCATTTGCATCTTCGCGGCCTGTGGAAACAGTAATCTTCACACAGACTTACATCAGAACGGCTTTTTATTGCTGTTTGCTCTCTATACACCAAACTCAGAGTTCAAGTTGTCTTTGATGCTCCACATGTCTGACCTCTGCACCTGGAACGTCTGATAGAACTACATGTGGAACAGAGAAGTGGACAGTCTAGTGTTCAGCTTTTTTTATTTGTTTGTTTTAACGCCTACGTCCGTTTTTAATTTCCTGAAACACATACAAGTACAGATCAATCTATATTCTAGAATTTTAAAAGACTAAAACGTGTGTGTTCCTGTCTTGTAAAGTCTTGGTGTCGTTGCTCAGCAGGTTCTTAGAACTCATTCGGGTGTAATCAGGTCTGAGGATTTCTAATGAAACCCCCACTCATACCTAAAGTGTTAAATCAACATTTCATGAATAAGATGGTAGATTTTTGTAAATAATTAATTATTCATTTGGTCTTTGAAGACCAATAGACTTCGCCTGTATAATGCTTTGTATATGTTAGAGGACATATTATATATGCAATGAGCAGTCAACATCTTCTTACTTCAATTCAAATAACTTAATTTGTCACCTCAGGGCAATTCAAAAGCTCACTGAGTATTTAATGTCAAGACATTAAAACAAAACAATAAACCACATCATAAATATCACATTATATTACATGGACATTGGCAGGGAGTCAGTGGGTCAAAGATGGCTGTACGTTTAGAAGGAGAACAGCTCTGCGAACAAAAATTCTTTGAGTCCGGCAGCCTGGGCAGCGAAGGCGACGTCCAGAGGGGAGCCACTGTAAAATTATCTTTGAAAATATTTTAAAGTGTCCCCTTTAAAACTGCAGTGTACTAACGACAGTCTGAGAAACACAGAATCAGACAGTCGAGGTTTTATATGTAACAAGGATTTAATCCTGTCGATTTTCAGGTTGGAGCGTTCTGTCTGTGTCATTCTCCTTCTTCAGAATACGTTTGTGGTTAGAAATTACAACACACAGCACAGTGTTTGAGCAGAGTCACGTGTGAGCTGGTGTGCTCCAGCTGCAGTGAGTGAGGAGGGCTGGGTGGAGAGAGAGGCTACATATGTGGATCTGCTCATTCATAGAGTCACAGCTAAACCTTTTTAAAGCAGGAAGTGATTATTTTTACGGAAACTAATTGTGTAAGTCTGACACACAGAGATGAACTTTTATTAGACTTGTCAAAAAGTTTTATTTGGAGGTGCAATCACATATTACATTTTTGTTTGTTTGTTTGTTTGTTTTTTAAGGACACATTAGAAAGTCTCCCTCCTCCACCACGACCTCCACGGCCATCCGATGCGGCGCCCCACATTCTCCCACCCAGGATTCCTCCACGGATCCCAGGAAGGTCAGTCTAACAAGCAGTCGCATCACTGATCGATGCTGTTGTAGAAGAAACAGTGCAATCGAGCAAATATTTCGCATTGCAATCAAAATAGAAGCGTAGATATGATAAGTGTGTGAGAGAAGGTCTGACAGAAGCAGACAGAGAGGCCATTTAAGAATCTACAAGCAGCGACGAGCGAGACAATAAGTGGTAAAGAGGAAACGTTCACCCACCAGTGATTCACAGCTGTGCGCTGCAGAGGAAGCCTGAGTGAGAAAGTGATGGAGGTGTTGATATCAACATGTATATATATATAGCTTCTACACAGAGGTGATAGAGCTTCTGTTGAGAACACGTTAAAATGAAAGCAAAGTTCAAAGTGACTCTAAAAGGAGTTTTGTTGTTGTACCTGCAGTGAATTCCTGTAAGTTCGTGAAACTCTACAGTCTGATAATTTGACCTGATAGAAGCTGCTCTCTTATCTTTGTAAAAGGTCATGTGGGCAACATCAGCATCTGATACACTCCTGGTTTGCTCAACCGTTGAACGTTGCGTGTATATTACGGTATCTTGTGCTGTATCTGTCATCTTACTGCTTGTTTGTGCTGTCAGTGTGTGTGAAGTACTGTTTTTGTAAACTTGAAGTTACAGTAATAAGGAAAAACAGAAATTAAATGTCAGACCTTTGATGTGAGCAACATGTAGAAATTCCCACAAGCTCACGATGCTGTTAAAATGTTTGAAGTTTAGTGTTTAGGAAGTTTCAGGGTAGTAGCTCGATAGAGATTCTAGTTCTGTGAGATTTAGTTTAATATTTACTAAATGCATTTTAAAGAGGACAGAAAGTTTGAAGTGCTGGAAGTAATGTGATTTAGTCCAGTCTGTGGTTTTAATTTTTTGCATCTTTACAGCACTGTGAGATCGTATCAAGAAGTTTTTTTTTTTAATTTTAGACTATACGGATTTAATTTATTTTAAAGTTTACTCTTGATTTTTTTTTTTAAGTTTGTCTTTGTTGCATGTACGTACAGTTATCACGGATGATGTGATGCAACGAGGTGACTTTATGAGACACGATAGAGTCCGACAGCAACCAGATACAGTCGTCCTCACATGTGTTCATACCCTCCCATTAAAGAAGGAAACAAACAGCTGTCACTGAAATAAGTTGAAATTGACAAAAGTAATAATAAATAAAAATTTAATGAAAATCATGACATTGCTTTTGAATTGTGGTTTAACCGAAATATTTTTTTTTAAAAAAGAAAAAAAAAACAAAAACAAGCATGATGGGACTGTAAACTAATAATAACTAATAATAATAGTAATTAGTATTAAAAATATTATTAGTATTAATAACGAATAATAACTAAAACTAATAAACTAAGTATAAAAAACAAAAAAAAACAAGCACGATGGGACCGTAAACTAATATCTTGCTCATCAGCAAACTGCTCTAATTTGTCTGGGACAGTTTTGTTTGTTTTTTTAAATTGTTCTTTTCAACCACAATTCAAAAGCAATGTCATACTTCACTAAATTAGAATTAAGCAAATTTTTCTTTATTGCTTTTTTTTTTAGTTTTTAGTTATTTGAGTGACTGTTGTGAATTTTGCATTTTCTTTAATGGAAGGACACTGTGTGATTAATACAGTTAAAAACCAAATAATCAATACAATAAAATATCCCAGGGGCTTCCAAACTTCCCGGCCCTCGACCCTTCAAACTAACAGAGACTCCCGACCTCAGCTAACCCCAGAGGTGGCTGAAGGATGCAAACACTAGCTACGACTTCAACACGTTTTTATGCACGTTTTGAAATACCACATTAGAAAATGGAGATGAGAAAACAACTAACCCAATTTAGGAAGAAATGCTTTTACACTTGCTTGAGGTTTTTCTTTTACTTTTAAAAAAAAAAAAGAGTAAAAGAGCTTTATTGGCGATGGAAACTATTCTTCTGAGGAAGCTCTAACGTGGCGGTGATGATCACACGACTGATCGGCTGTTTACGCTCCACTGAAAACAGTTCCTTCAGACTTCTCTCTATTGTTCTATGGTAGAGAGACAGAGTCTGTTTCTTTGTCTTTCTTTTTCAGCACTTGGACAACAACTTTTTTTTTTGCTTTTTATTTGTCCTATGCAGTTTAATATCTGCTTATACCACCACCCAAAAAATAACTGCACAGGTGATTTGTTGTTTGGTTTTTTTGAAGTCTTGACTTTTATTTTCTATTTTAATTTTTTTGGTACATTTAAATAAATTGGCTTTATATTTGCTTAATAATATATGGAGACTATTTCAGACCTATCCAAAGACACAAAAGAACACAACAACCTAACTGCTACGACTTTATTTTGCAATAATTTACTGTAAACTTACCGTAGACTCACTGTTTGTTTGTTTTTTAAAATATTTTTTAACAATTAGGGCTAAAATAATGATATGATACCATTTAAAGTTCTAGTACACACCACACAACAACTACAAGTTTAGTTAAAAATGAGAATAGAACTTTTTTATATGCTTTAGAAAAACTGCATGTACTTTTTTTTACATTTTCAGTTATGATAAGACAAACAGTAAGTGCACTCAAGTTCGCACTCGATCGCTAAAACAACAGAACTCCTGTGTTTCTGGCAGAACAAGCCGGTGACACAACCACAGCAGCTAACCTCAGCTAAATTTACAGACTTTCATCTCTAGTAGCTGTAATTCAGTTTATTAATAATTACATTTGAATTACTACACTGTACAGTCAAATCTATACACATGATTAAGTACAAAGTGGAAGCATTCTCATGTGAATGAAAGCTTAAGAAAAGCTTCTTGTTGTAGATGTAAAGGTATTTGCGTTTTTCACTGTCGTGTACTGTCGGTTCTGTTGCAATGATTCTGTGGATAAACTAGTCCCCCTAGTGAGCCATTTAAATATTGAACTGCTACACAGTTTGCCTGCCAGCCAGTTTATAGTTATAGGAACTGCTCTTAACCTTTTTGTAGCTCAGACCAGCAATCTAAATATAAAACTTGAGCTCCATTTTTAGATTTCAAATGTTATAATTGTAATTGTTTTGAGAAATTTCAATTTGATAAAAGCTATTAGGGATTGTTTACAATAAGTGTAACTGTAAACTATTATTTCAACAATATTTGTAATTGATAAAAATACAATCGCATGCTGCATAGATTTATCTAATCAGCAAATATTCTTTTGTCTTACTTACCAATAAGTGTCCCCAAATGTTAAGTAAAACAATTCTGTGGATAAATAAATGGAACAATGTCTGAAACACCAGGTTCAAAGTCTTATGAGGATTGATATAACTGCCTCTTTTTAAATTATATTTTATTTTATTTTTGCTCAATGCTGATCAAAAACCATTCACCCATCCTGTACGGTATCTTTACCTCAGCGTCAGACAGGATAAGCTGGTATCACAGTAACGGTGTGTTTGTTGCAGGGTGCCAGAGGTGAACGAGCGCTACATATCCTGCCCGACGCGAGCGCTTCCTCAGAGACCGTCACACCGACAAACAGACTCAGCACCTCCTGTGCCACGACGCCTGCGGTGATGGCCACTTATCGTCACTTTTTCTGTTGAATCTTTTGAGTTCAGTGTTATTTTTATGTGAGGAGGAGGGAGGAGGTGATGGTTTGTACCTTTGTCAGCATTTAAGATGAACCCATGCAAAGAGAAAGTTTTACATTCAGTTTTTAAAAAAATTCATTTTATGCACCAGTTTACCTTAACAGAGTATTTCTATCCATAATGTTTCACTGAATACGTGTGTGGGTCTGTTTATTTGTGTGTGTGTGTGTTTCACTGTAAAATACTGTTTTCACTTAATGAGTTTATAGCAAACGCCATAAGATTAATTATTAAGTATCTTAATTAAAGTAATTTAGGTTCTGAGTACTTTGTTCTGTTTTCTTTGTTGTTGTTGTTGTGGGTTTTAAGTGTTGAAATACTGAAAACAGGCCAGTTATTTGTTGTGTTTGTATTCTTAATTGTATTATTTGGGTGTGGTGGATCTCCTGATAACTGAGCAGTGACTTTAGAGAAATATATAAGATATTCCTGTTTGTGCTCCCACTTAATTGTCAGTTTTTGTAATATTATATTCTATGTACTTATTTTACCTCAATGACTGTCACCATTGTGTGTCTTTAAGAATGATCTGAGTCGTGTGTACTGTCAGATTATCTTCGTGCCTTTAGGTAGTCGTCTTTGTTGTACATCAGTCTTTGTGTTATTTCTGAATTTCATAATGAACAATGATAATATGTTCCTTTCATAAACTTGAAGCAGTCCTTGTTTTTGCTGGGTACCTCTGGGTTTATTCCATGTGTTATACAGTTTGGTCACTTGATGGTGCTCCACATTCTCTGTTTGTCCTTCAAAGGTGGACTTCAACCGACATCTTTTTGTAAGTGAAAACTTTTCTCTCAGTTTTATCCCATGAGGCATACATACAGCAGTTTAATTAAAGTTCTTCACTCTTCAGAATATAAATGAGTCCTGACTGCAGAAACTGTCCCCTGTAAAGTTTTGAGGAGAGACGCGTGTGAAGTGTGACAGAGTGTGGCCCGCCAGGACTTCTGGTTGAAATTTTCAAGATAAAATCTGGACTGAAAAACACTGCATTGGAGTGAAAACCCTGTGTAGGCCTACATGTAATGAAATCATCTGTTGCAATATAATTACATTTATATTTATTTATTTTCATTGCATAGATTTACAGTTAAAACTCTGAACAGATTTGACTGCATAAACCTGTTATCATGGGAGATGTGATGAAGTTGGTTTTGTTTGTTTGTTTGTTTGTTTGTTACAGCTGACTAAATGCTTCCACTGTTTTAACTGAAAAACGGGGTCCACATTTGCGACCATAAAGTGTGTTTCCAGTGATTTCTGTCTCAGACACTGAGGTCTGTGTCTTCTCAGATGTGACAGAGTTCATTTTAAACTTGAAAAGAAAAACCTCTCAGTGGCCTGAGACTTGGTCAGGTATAATATTAGGCTCCACATTAACCTTTAAAAACCACCGGTGAAGGCGTCTTAATCATGAGAAACTCAAACACGACTCAGACGTGGACTCAGTTAAGTCACATTTCATGTTGCTGTTATTGTAAATAGGAAGTCCTGTGAAATGTCACAACAGAAGTTTCAGTGTATCGGTACACTGCAGCTGATGAATGCTTTCTAGTAACATGTTTAACACCAACTATAGACAAAAGTGTTTGGGTTCATAGTAGATTAGTAAATGTGCACAAATAATTGTGAAGCTGTGCTCACTGATATAATAACATTACTTTGAACTTTTGCGCTCGTTGTGGTGTAATGGTGAAACAAAACTACAGCTTTAATAGCAACAGAATGTTCAGGGAACACACAACCACACACTGTTACCAGAAAGGTGTCAAATGATCCGGTGTGTGTGGGCCATATATTATATTAATGATCATAATAATAATAGTAGTAATAATACTTATAGCGCTGTTCAAGATACTCAAAGACGTTTTACAAAAAGGTAACAACAAAACAAACAAAATGAATATTGTAAAGTGTGAGTGATTTATAGTAATATTATAAAGCCACTAAATTAGAAATATTGAACAGAACTAAACAAACCCAGAGTTGCTTAGAATGGTGTCGAGGTCAGGGAACCTTATATTCTTTCCCACAAGCAAAGTTTTAAAAAATAAATA